CTTGCAGTTTTCAAGGCAAGGTGTTTCGGAAGTGGTTTGCCATGGCCTCCTTCCTAGAGCAGAGCCCAGCTGGAGAGCGCAGGAGGAGGAGTTTCCATTGCTTTGCGCTCTTTTCAGGCGAACGCGGTTTCACGCTTACCGGCAACTGCTCCTGACCCCTTTTGCAAGGCGCCGCCAGCATTTTTCCTCCCACCGGAGTGAGAGTCCCCATTTATCTACTCACGTGAGTTTTCGAACTGTTGGGTTGACAGGAACTGGGGAGGAAACAGGAGCTCACCCTGTTAACATGAAGGCTGGACTACTCACGTGAGTTTTCGAACTGTTGGGTTGACAGGAACTGGGGAGGAAACAGGAGCTCACCCTGTTAACATGAAGGCTGGACTCGAACCACTGAAGCATCAACCATTTCTGGCCGGCAACTTTCAGTGTCATTAGTGTGAGTGAATTTATCAAATCTAGATATTATGCCTAACATAACTTTACAGGACACTTTAATTAATTTATTTTTCTTAAGCTAAGACTGGGAATGCTGGAGGTTTGGAATTTCATTGGACTGAAAAAAGCATTTTCATTTTCATGAAGATAATAAATGAACAGTCAGTGAAGTACTTATGTTTTAAATGTTATTCACTGATGTTTAACAAAATTATAATGTTGATTTTAAATGAAGTGGTCAGGTTTCTTCAGAAATACTATGTCATTCTCCTTATAGATCTGTATATGTTTGTATATGCTTATTTCACAGATAACCAGGATTAAAAGGAAAAGGAAATGATGAAATGTATTTGTAAAGCTTTCTGAAACAGAAAAAATTATGCTAAGAGACCACAATATATATACAGTTTGGTGACTGATATCTGACTATGGATGTCAACTGTATTGGGAAAAAAAATTGCATTCATCAAGGGAAAAGAAATAATTTTTTTTAAAGACCAAGCATATAAGGGAATAAGAGTATCAGGAAAATTAAGAGCTAAATATTTAATTGAGCTTTGCAAATTTGCATCAGTGTTTTTTCTCCTATAAAATTAAGCTTCTAGCCAAGCCATAAACATTAATTATTATGTCAGTTCATATTAGATAGATTAAAAGAAAATAAAAAGGGAAAGATACTTCATCTTGACAATCTGGAACTGACTGAATTGAACTTTAGCCAACAAAGAAAAGGGAAAGAAGAGACATGTCCAGCAATATATTAAAAGTTGTCTTTTAAAATGAGATAATTCATCACCTTATTTTTTATGCCTCATCCTAAATTTAGTTTCAAGCCTCAAGCAACATGAAAAAAAAAAAAAAAGACATAGTGTACAACTGCACATACCATTTAAGCTGCTCCTGTCCTCTATTCATGGCAACTTAACTTTAAAAGTTTAAGAAAAACAAATCCGGATTGAGACACTTTGACAACAACTTCCAAGATACTCATTCCTGACTGCTGGCTTCTATCATCCATCCATCCATCCATCCATCTATCCATCCATCCATCCATCCCTCCATCCAAAGTTTATAGGCCATAATCTATCATGTTGGTCCAGTAGAAGTTGGTAGATAGATGTTTACATTCCTGTGGTATTTGTAGAGGAGCACAGAGATGGTCTTGAAGAAAACATGTGACAACTGTTAGTAAAGCTTGAGCTTAGGCCAGGAAAATGGGAAAGCATCAGAAAGAAACTCAAGCTTTGATTCTCGTTGGTATAAGAGGAAGAGGAAGAGAAACTCTGACAGGTTTTCAAGATTCTGTTATTAGATATCCATAAAGGAGACTTCTAGTATTTCTCATCGTGTCTGTTTCCTGACCTGGCTTACCTGGAAGGGCTGACAGTATTTTTGTTATTTACTGAGCAGCATGAGGCAGTGCATGACCAGTTGGTCAATAGGTAATAAAATATCATAGAAGTATATATTATAAATTCCACCCATCCCCAAGAGACAAAAAGTCATGGAACTTCTTGTGCAAGGGCATGACCCAATAGCACCTTGTCTGTTCAGTCTGTGAACTTAAAATAAGGAAGGGTCTACTTTTTTTGACTTCCCAGTTACAGCTGAGAAAAATTGCCTGGCCCAAAGTCACCCAGTTTGATTCCATACCTGAGGGAGGACTAGAACCTAGGTCTTCCTCCTCCTATCCTAGTTCCAGCATATTTACAAAGTTAAAGTCCCCCCACCAAAAAAATAGGAGTCATCTATAACATGCAGTATAGCGTAAGGAGTGTAACAGCCACTATGTACAACAGACAGGCCGAAGACTAGCAGAGCGCATCCATGAACACCAACTAGGAATGAGAAGACCCAATGAAAACTCCTTAATCTCACAACACATGGACAGACTCAATCATAGTTTCAGCTGGGAAATGGTGAGCATCCTAAACCAAGCTAAATCCAAAAACTCTAGGGACTTCCTGGAAGCTTGGCATTCAGACAAGTCACCCATCAACAGACACATAGAGATGAACCATATTTACACACCATCAAAAGAAACAATAAAAAAGGTAAGAAGGAAACAAAAAGATCTGAACACATCCTCTCCAGCAACTAACATCCTGATAAGCAACACCAGACAAACAATTTAGCAGAAAACAATGCCCTAATCAAGGAACTACCAAGAAGAAAACCACACCCTCACCAACATTGGCAGGGCAAGCTACTGTATATTAACAGGGAGCAAACCCCACACTCACTTGCACTGATGATATTAACTAGTTGGGTAATGAAACATCTGTAAGCAAACAACCAAACTCAGAGAGCACCAAGGACTCCACAGTTCAACCCTGAGCTACAGATATTCTCTTCTATTGGAAAGTTAAAGCATCAGAATATACAGTACATACATGCAGACACAAAACCACCTTTATTTTTTCAAATCATTTCTTACTAGGTGTTTTGCACAACCATAACTTCTAGACCTTTGCTTAACCTTAGTTCTAAAACACCGCAGTAGGTAAAAGTTTTGTATAACACATAAGAGGTTTGAAACTTGGCAGAAAACTTTTGTTTAAATTACTATTTTCTGTCCTTCAACTAGCTCGATTTCCCTGGTAGCTGAAAGCCTTCATGTTGTTTTTTTAAAAAAAAAGTAAGTACAGCTTACCATTTCATTGTTTTTCCAGTTGCTTGAGGTAAAAGGGGTTCACACTGTGTGAAACTGTTTTACCTCAATTATTTGGAAAAACGATGAAATGGTGGAATCTTGCACTTGTTTCTTTTAAGGCCTTC